GTTCCTTTAATAATACTTGTTTTGAGGAGATGGAATACATTTGTGTTCCTTTAATTTCCTTTTAAATTCCTTTTATCATCTTACTCATAATTGTATTTTATAACAGAGGAGACCTAGATATCTTTCCTCCAACCTCAACTTGGCTTAATTTTCAGTCTAAAGAAGAAGCTGTTAGAAGAATAACTTTTAAAAGTAGCTATAAATAGATATAGCGCTAGGTCTAATGATGGACTCAAGTTTGTAAAAATCTGGAGGATGTATGTTTAAATTGACTGTGTTGGGAGAACTGAAGCTTACTCCCTTTTCTTACTAAATAATAAGAAAAACACGTAACTAGCTGAGCTAGCCAAACAATAACAAATCACTGACTGTTACGCACGGCCATTACGTATCCTGTAGTTTCTTGGGTGGAGCAGAAATTTAAAATGCACAGTAGCTGTGGCGGATGTGAAAGGGTTAAAAGTGTGGAAATATCTTCCCACAGACAGAATTATGTGTGATCAAGTCTTGTGGTTTGATCCAGACTAGAAGAAATAAAACAACTGACGCTAGTAGTAATATATTTTCAGTTACATGTAAGCTGTGTCTGTTGTTATCAGTAGTGGCATCCTGCACAGCAAGATGCCCTTTTTGCTTTCAGTAGCCTATGAAAACCTCACTTTAAATTGCTGAGCCTATGATGTTGTAGGTGTGTATTATACATATGTATGTACAAAAGCCCCACCTATTTAATATATTGAATGTGATGCACTCAGAGAGCCACACTGATCACTTAAAGGCCAGTATTTCTGTGGCACAAAGCAGTCTCAAAGTAGTCATTGCAAATCTTCCTTGATGTTATGAGACACATGGCATACAGGTAAGGTGTATACTTCTGGGAGTTACTGGATTACTTAGCTGGCTAGCTGGTTGGAGGCTGAATGTGGACAAAGGCTTGATCTGTCTGGTTTACAATTGGGAAGGTGTAATTTTTAGTCACAGAAGTTTTCAAAGATTTCAGTTTCATTATACAAGCATGATCAGAAAGAAGACACTTCTAAATATAGCTGTTATTTTTTCCATTTAAAAATATGGATCTTTTCCAGACTGCAGTGGTATGTTTGAACTACTGAAGAGATTTGGTTAACTGACTAGCACATGGGATATAAAGGAATGTTTTTAGTCACTAAAACATGGGACAATATTGTCCCATGAGGAAATATTGCAGGGTAAACTAATACATAGGAACATCAGTTCTTTCATTAACCTTCCACAGAACCGAAGTTTACCCACAGACATTAGAAATGCTGGTTGTCAGTAAAAAAAATTCAGGAAAATAAATTATTTAATATATTTCTCAGAAATTGTGATGTGAAAATAATAGGCATGATGTTGGATTCCGTAAAGAAAAAGTGAGTCTTCTTCACCTTGTATTTGAAGTAAGGCTCTCATTAAAACAAAACTAAACCAAACCAAAACCACCTCAAATTTAGGGCAAATTATAGTTCTGCAATAAAATAAACGTAATAAAAACATTGAAATACTCCACTGTGAGTTTTTATGCTTATTACTTAAAACTGAATATTATATGCATACTCCAAAATACATAATCCCAGTATTGTGCATCAGATAAAAGGGTAAGAAATACTGATACTGAGGTAAGTAGGTTAGCAGTCATCTTAATGTCCCATTTTTATTGATTAATGGAGCCAAAGAATAATACAACAAAAATTTAAGAAATAATCATGTAAAGAATTAGATGAATTTTATGTTGAAATAGTCAAAAAGTACACAGAAGTGAAAGTTACTTTGGCTATAGCCTCTTCAATGTCTCTGAACTTTCTTTGTAATAGTTTTTTAGTATACCTTTAAATTTGTAATATAGTACTATGGGATGGCAATTGTATAATTGACAGAAATCTTTCATTTACACGACTAATCAGAAATCTTCTGATAGTAAAGTGGTTTTTTTTAATGATTCCCTAGAAGTTTTCTCCTGCCAGCTATTTTCTGGCATGCTGTGCTTTATATTGTGTATGTTTTTCCTTAGTCAAAATATAAATGGCCCCTAGATTCCTCCCAGGAGTACTGGTGGAGGGAATTGCTTTGAATTGCTAAGGCTGTATCTTTACTTTGGTCTCATTAAATCTCATCACCATTAACACAGCTACTCTTATGTACAGAAAGCTGTTGTTAACCTTTATGGAAGTACCATGAAGGTAATTTCTTTAATGAATTTAGGGACAGTAACATGCAAACCTGTTCCTGTTCCTAATGGTCTCAAGGTAGAAGTGTCAGTAATTTCAGTGGGAAAAGAAAACCAGGCGGTGTTTGTTGGTCTGCGTGGGACTGGATATTAGAGTTTGAATTTGGGCTCTCGCTCTTGAGGTCTGTAGAGGCTTGCTAAATTTGGGAGGAGTGGATGGATTAGATATTTCATTTGGCAAAAGAAGATAACAATCATGTTCAGACTGCCAACATTTGAGCTCCCTTCATTTCCTAAGCAGCCTTTTTTTGCTGTTGTTTCTCTTGCCTTCAGCTTAAAGTAAATGTCAAATATTCTGAGATGTCAACGTTCATGCTGTTGTAGAGTTATGTGGGTGTGCCCAAAGCCTCTGAAAGATGCCTAGTCTTGACAGCGTGCTTTTTTTTCTTTGATACAAAAAGATTGATGTTTCCTCTGACACTCACCTCACCTTGACCTGCTCCTTATGTTTGTGCACTGTAAACCTGCACCTCTTCTGCCTCTGAGTTGAGATTAATTACAAGAAACTGAAAAAAAACAAGGTTTTTAAAATTCAAGCACTATCTGGTTCCTAGTTAAGTGACTGCAGTGTTAACTGTTTGTCCCGGAAGAACAATACTGTAACCTGTCTGCCATGGTATTGGATTCTCTCAGTTGTTAATCAGCTGGAACATCTTAAATTTATCAGATTACAGGCATTGTTAAGGCCCCATCTGTTTTTAGTGGTTCATCTCAGTGTGACTCCACCATGGATTTAGTACAAATCTCAAGCCCAGCCTACTTTTCCTATTCGTCTTCCTCCAGCTTTGCATCCTAAGGTGTAATTTCTGGGAATAGTAATGGAGGATATATACAGAAAAGGAAATCAGGCTGAAGAAGGACACTGGAAAAATAGGCATTTGGAGTTCAGTCTGAGCAGTAGTATTAGCATGTATCTACCTTGTGCAGCTGGGAAACAATGTTCTTATTTGCACAGTAAATAGATGTGCAAGGCAGTTGTCACAAACTAGGTGCAGTAAAACTTACAAATATTTTTCTCTCGTATCATAATAGTGCTTTTTCAAATGCTAATGACTTCAGTTCATACTGGTTTCCTGAACTTGGCAAAGTCCTGCATATAAACTTTTCCCAGAGGGCCATTTGCGTGCTCTAGGAGAATCAATTTAGACTTTAAAAGTTCAACTTCATGTTGTTTAGGCAAACAAAAACATAATTTCAGAAGGAAGTGTCTAGAACTGTATAAGATGAAGGAGGTGGGTTCACAGAGTCTTGCATCTTCCAGAACAATTGACCTTTGGGTCAAAGCTGAGCATTCAGTTAAAGACAAAAGGTTTGGAAGGAGGAATGGGAGAAGGAAATGAAGGAGGGAATTCTGTATGTGTTAATTTGTCATAGGAGGGAGAGTTTAGCATTGAGAGGGGTTTTTCATTTTAAACATGTCTGTAATGTTATGCTGCTGGGAGGAGTTGTTTGTTTCTGTCCTATCTGAAAGCCAAGTATGAACTTTTGTAAAGAGACTGTCTACTGCATTGTATCTATTCAAGAATGTGTAGTAGTTTGCTGTTTAAATACCATTTGGATGCATATCCCTTCAGACTATAATGTTGCATCTTTCCACTTGTGGTGTTGGAAGTTCTGGACCTGTTTTGCTTCTTTACCTGAATCTGGTGTTGGAAAAAAATGGGGCTTGGGAAAGCACTGCAGTCCTGTTCTGAGAAACTCTAAAATGAGGCTGTGGGGTTTTGCTTATCAGACTAAGGGCTTCTTTCTTACTGAATTGTATTGTGTTTCTGCCTTGTGTCTTCACAAAAATGAAGTGCATAGTCCCTGATCTCTTTGGACTTGTAGATTCAGACCTTTTCTGTGGGCCACGTGAATTCATCTGTTTTACCTACATGGTAGTATTGATAATGCTTCCTGTATTTAGTCGCAGTTCTTGTTTTTTGAAGGTCTTGGTACCCCTGGTTTTGCTACAACAGTTTCTGATGGAGTTAACCAGACGGGGTCAGGAACCACTGAGTGCACTTGTGAACTTCGGGGTGACATATCTAGAAGACTATTCTGCAGACTATATCATTCAACAAGGAGGATGGGTAAGAAGATAATATTTAATTTTCTTACTTTGTTCAAAGCTTATTTCTAAGTGTGATACTACTCTTAATAGGAATAAAAGCTAGGAGGGGTTGCTACGAGAAAAGGAATGCCCAAGAAAAAGAAAAAAGAAAATAAAAAAAGCAGGAGGTCAGGACCCTATAGTTGGAAAGGGATCTTAGGCAGTCATCTATTTCACCTCTCTGCCCCAAGAGAGGTGAAAGGCAGAACTGACTTTTACCCTTTCATTTCTGATGTTGACATTAAAGACCTATTGTGAATGGACTCCACAATTTCCCCATGCAGTCTGTTGCAGTTCTTTGCACGTCTGGTTTGTTGGATTGCTGTTGAAATTGAAGAGGTCCTCAGATGTGAAATAATAACAAGTTTTCATACTAGTTATTCCTACATCATTCATGAGTTAAGATGGTAATATGCTGCTGCAATATGGTGAGCTCTTGCATGTATGTTCTTTCCTGTTAATATAAATACAGAATTGCATTTAGAAGCAAACACCCGTAACAAAGGATGCTGTGCCTGAGAGGCTTATCCTTTTAATGTTATCTTCATACTCTGGTGACTGCTGGAAATGGTATATGTTTTTTTTCCTCTTAAATTTCAGAGAGTTTTTTAGCAGATAAGTAACTGGGGAGCACTTCATACAGAAATGTCAGTACATACTAATTTATTTTTATAGTAAGTGATAAAATAGCTAATGCATATTGGATTTTATAGCTATGTAGGTATGTGGATAGAATGAGCAATCAAGATTTCTTTGTGCTGCATTTCCTTGTGGAACTCTTCAATTCATGGTAACCAATGTTCCTGAGTCATGGCATGCTGAGAAAGTTTCATTTAAAAATACATCACAGAGGCAGCTCACAGCCAATAAGCTGGGTCTTAAAGGTAGAACTGTGCTAAAGGAGGCTGAGCTTTAGATTACTGGGTTTGGGAAGGATGCCAGATTTGAACGGAATTAATCTGGGATTAGTGAAATGGCTCCAGCAAGTTGATTTATTCTGAAAAGAAAAGCTGTTCAGGAAAACCCAGTGATTAAAAAATGCTAGTAGGAAGAATCTCATTCAGACAGCTTCTCATATTTCAGGACTCTGCTTGAAGATTTATTTAAGTGTAGTTTGTTCCAGAATTTCTGCACTCTGCATGTCTGCACCTTCCTATATCCTTTCCCTTCCCAGCAATTGTGGATAGTGGTATTCAAAGCCTTTGGGAGGGATTGTTTGTCTTTAATGGACAGAAACACTAACAGCATGCAGCCAAATGACCTTAGGTCATTTGATAAAGGCACTTGCATTTCAAGTATTTTCATTACAGGGAAGGTCCTTACTTGCAGCTTTACGACAGATGGATGTTAGTGCTATTTTGCTTTTCTGCCTTTTTTTTTTTTTAAACCTCAGAAAAGGCTGTGGTCTGTTCTCTAGCCCCCTATTTGAGGCCTGCTATAAACATACTTAATACAGCGCAAAGCCTCTGAAAACAAGCAGCTTTCCAGCATGGCCTCCAAGAGGGAGGGGACTGTGCTTTGTGTTTGTGTGACTGGGCACGTAGGTACAGATCTGGGTAGTCGGTGTTTAATGGGCTACGAGCTTGTCTGTATATATGCGGTCAGGCATAAAATCAGACTGACATAAGCGGTACAGCAAACAAGCCAGAGCTATTTTTGAAACAGCAGAAGAGGCGAGGAAAGAGACAAGGTGATGAAAATCCTTTCCAGCTGAATCAATGTAGCTGCATTAACCCTTTGTGAGTTGCTCTGGGGAGGGGGTTGGGGACCTGCTGGGCTTGTGGCTTTACTTGGAGGAAGGCAATATACAGTTTTATTGTCTTTTATTTTTTTTCCCTGCAATGAAAATGCACCTTGTTACCAAGTGACATTCTTCTTGGTTTCTTCCAAATTGTGGGATGGTGTTCTGGGATGGCAGTGCTGGGAGCAGGGCATGGGGTGAGGGTGGGGAGAGTGTGTGCGTTTCTGAGACGGGCTGGGGGAGAGCTGCCTGGCAGGCTGTTAGCCATCAGGCAAATGTTTTGCATTTTTTTTTAAGATAAGCATCTGCCACAGGAGCTCTGTGTGTGGATCAAGTTGTCAGTAATAGTTTGATAGAGGCATAAGGGCAATGTATAAACCTGGGAGTCTCCAGTGAATTATGTTGCTGTGACAGTAAGAGGTTGAATTTTTGTGTGAATTCTGGAGTGGTGTGAAGATAGGTCTTCTCTACAGCTTCTGAGAGCTTGCTTCAAAATGAGAAGATAGAACAGAACAGCCTTTCTGTTTTTTCATGGATCCGGAGCAGAGGAGAGCTTTGCAGGAGGCAGCTTTTCAGGGGCAGACCTGAAAAATTCTGTAGTGTTTCTGGTGCTGTCTCTTCCCTTGGCACCAAGTAATTTGGGATCTTCCTCAATTTTTGGATTGGAGTCAACCTTTGCCAGGAGGGATGTAGGCAGGCAAAGGTAAGGGGTCAGCTGAGCCCTTCCTATGCCCCACTGCCCATCTGTGGAGTCAGAATTTTTCTGAGCTGTGTCATCCAGTGAGACCACTTGCTGTGTCATGCTATGCAGTCACGATGCAGCTGGAAAAGCTCCCAAGGTTCTGCGTGTGCGTGAGACTTCAAGTTGTTTTTTGGGCTTGGGAGGTTTGTAGGTCCAGGAAAGTGTCTGATTGTTGCTTGCTTACAACAGCTAAGTAGAAGCAAAACTGCTAGCTCAAGGGAGTAAAGGTTGATAGATTGGATAGCTACACAGTAGATTTCAAGAAATCTATGTGGCTTGTGAGGAATGGGAAATTTGGGATACTAGAGGTAGAGCCCCTGAGATGAGAAGTTCCTTTTTGATTTTTCCTCCCAGTCCTGCAGAGATATGGTGATGACATGATGTGTTGAAGTAATGAGTGTTCTCTTCCCATTCTCCCTTCATTCTCCCTGAAATTGTAATTCAGCTAACTTTTCATGGCTGGGTGGGACGACGATGTAATGGTTGGTTGGTGAGAGAATGGCTGGCATATTTTTATGTTCAAGTACATATAATATTTTGATACTATGATTCTTGCTGTTGTGTATGCTGCTCCCCTTCCGATTGGTCTGTTTACTGCTTAAGGGTGAAAGTCTTCCAAGTAGGGATGTCTGCAGTGCACTGCATGTTGTCTTTGGATGCTGATGGCAACATAAATGTGAATGAAGAGATGAAATTACTGCTCCATCTAGTTTACAGTCTCTTAGATTTGCAGGTAGATGCAAGTTGAGTTTGGAGGACTGTAAGAAGCAAGGAAATCTTGCTTTCTTCTGAACAGCCTCCCTCTTTCACTAATTGCAGTGAGAGGTTTGGCTGCAGCTCTTAGGTTTACACTTCTTAAGTTTTAGCATGATCTCTCTTTTGGAGCAAAAAGCATTTGACATTCCAAGCTCTCTAAATAGCCACATGTGAGGACACACATTTCTTCTTCCTGACTCTTTGTTTTGAACCCAAATGGTCATACTAAGATCTCGTTCCCTTATCATTTTGAACCATTGCAAAACAATTCCCAGCCTGATTTAGCAGTAGCTGTCTTCTCTTTCCTGAAGGCAATGTTAGGGCTCAACAAACTGACATGCAGTGTACATGCTCTCCCCTCCCCCTTCCTCCTCTTCCCTCCCTTCTCCTCTTTTCCCCGCCCTTCCCTTCTCTTCCCTCCCATCCCTCTTTGCTCTGACTTCTCCAGGGGTGAACGGTGCTGCATCAGAAGCAATTCTTGGTCTCCTGGAAAAGTGCACAGTAAGGCCAGTCAGTTGGTAAGGATTTTTTTCCTCTTCCTTTCCTACCCCTCCTCCAAAATAATTTATTTTTTCTGAAGCTCTGTAGATCCTGTTTTCCATGGTTAGATTTAATCTATGTTGATATAGTCTGGGAATGCCTATAAGGAGGAAAATGTGTAAGATTAATTGGAAGCTAGCTGCTTTTTTTTTTTCTCAGATTCACATTCATGTTAGAAGCCCATCTGCTTTTCATTTGTTGGAAAGATGTGAAATAAGTGCATGCAATCAGTGTTTATCAGTATTCAGTTAATATCTTTTCTTCTCTCAGTAAGAAACTCATATTTGTATTTGTGACCCATAGCTGAAATTGACTCTCCCTTCCCAGGGTTCTTGCCTCATGATGTTCAGATTGGGATTTGAATTTAACTAGTTATTTGCCCATGTTGAAGAGAGTAAATTTGCTTGAAATAGGCATAGTGTTTACAGTTTCTTATCTCAGCCTTGGAAGAGTTGTTCTCTGTTTCCAGTGTTTTGTCTTGGGCTTTTCTGCTGGCTTTGACATTTTCTTTGCTGCTGGTGATTGAATAATTTACCTACTGGAGTCTGTTAACGATCTGGAGGACAAAAAGAGTAAAGAAACATTTGTCATCCTGTGGAGGTGAGGCAGTCAGCTTGTGCTACTGGAGATTAAAATCTCCTGCAGCAGTCCAGGTGTCTGCCTTGAGAATGACAAAGCAGAAGCAGAGATGTGCTACACTGGAGGAGAGATAAGTGAAGTTTAATAGAGTAGCGATGCAAGAAAGGGCAATCTAATTAGAAGAGTCCTAGAAAGGAGTTTTCCTTTCAAAATAGTTATATTTTCCGTTTGTATTGTGGATCACGGCAGTGAAATATCCACTTTTATTTGTATGTAACTTCTTTGGTACAGTAATAGATTTTTTTATTTTTCAGGCACTGTGGCTGAAGGAGAAGGAACTTAAATGGTCAAAGAGCAACTAGATCTCTTTTTTTCCATTCCAACAACTTAAAAACGGTCTATCTGAAGAGGTGGTCTCTAAGTAACTGAATTTACTTCAATTTAAGATCCTAAGACTGAAACCTTAAAGGATGTTCCTTTGGTGCTGACCCTCTGCAGGTAGTAGAGGTTATGTTGGAGGGCAGGGGAAGGAATAGGTTCATTTCTGCAGGCTGTTCTAGCCAAAGCATTCCTTGAAGGGGATGAAAGCAGTGACTGCAATATCAGTCTGCTTTGATTTGGT